ATCTCTTGGTATTCAACATCCTTAAAAAATAAACTGGAATTTAAAATTAATTTGAACTTTGCAACAAGTTCCTTAAAACCTAATCAAGATGGAAGCTCCAACAAGTAGTCAAACAACAAGTTGAGGATCATCCAAAATCTTGATTCTTTCCATCCTTATTCTCTACCAGTAGTGGATCCAACATGAGAATCTTCTTCGTCTAGACACAAAGAATGTTGTTTATATTTTAAAAAAATTTAATAATCAAATCTTTCTTTCTCGTAGGAAGCATCACAAAAATATTGTGCTAGTTAAATCATTTGTACAAATGCTTGTATCAATCTTCTTCGAGGATGAAGAGATCGATCACATGTCATGAAAATTTAAAAGCATTTTGAAGAACTTTGAAGCAATATATATTTTGAATCGGAAAAAGCTACTCTTTATTATAAGTTTGATTTATTAAAAACTATAATAAATATATCACGCTTGAAGTGTAAAGGATGATGTTCAAAGATTTATTAGAATTTGATCCAACAACATAATTTTTATTAATAAGCATGAAATTGTAAAAAGATGTAACACTCTTTATCTATATTTTCATTTTATATATTTCTCTATTTGAATTAAATACACATATGTAAAAGAGGAAGAGGAAATTCTTTTATTTGACTCAGCTGATTAATACTAATTTCATAGAAGGATGAAATCGCTTCTCTAAATTATTCCGTATGTGAGGCTTGATTCCAACCTTTTGAGGATGCTTAAATAGTCATTTAGATTAAGGTACCTCAGCTTAAAGCCCATTTTGGATGGATTTATAAGATTTTTGCAAGTTACTATTTAGGAAAAATATGGTTATGTTATTCATTTACATATCTATATAAATAATTCTATTAGTGTTGGGACATATCAAATAATTAAAAAAATATTTATGTTCACTTATGTAACGACTCCAAAAATTTTAAAAGAAATAAATTATGAATCTAATGCGAAAGCGAAATAAATAGTTAACGTTTATATTTCTTATACATAAACTTAAAGTCTCAAATAGTGTTACGAGAATTACCATTTTGAAGGAAATACAAAAAAATTAAAGATATAAACAGAAAATAAATAAAACTGGTATCTTACTATCAACCCTCTTGTAGATCGGGCTCTGGATCTTGTTCCTCTTGATATGAAATGGTTAAATAAGAAATGAGCTACAGTAGGCTAGTAAGAATATCACACTACTCACCGGCACATAAATGAAGGTTGATAGAAAATCAAAACAAGTAATGGAGTACTTAATTAAACAAATACATTCATTAATAATAAACTATTTACCATCAACTTACCATAACGAGATTTATAAAAAGAACCTATAGAGGCAATAACATAACACTTATCATGATTTCATATGCAATTGGTAACATGCACACATCATAAATCCATATTCAATAAATCAAATAATAACTGTCACTTTTCATCAGTCTGCTAGTATCCATGGGGGTTCATAGGAATGTCCCGGCTGCATGTTAACCATTTTCTTTAACATTCTCAATTACGGGCCGTCCCCATACCTCGTCCGGTATAAGCGCCAAATTACTAAACCTCAATATCTCGTCCGGTATGAGGGTGAAATTGGCCATCCCCATACCCCATCTGGTATGAACACCAAATTACCAAATCTCAATACTCCGTCCGGTATGAGATAACGTTCACGGTAGGGTTCCCTATGTACCCGATCTATCCACCATCTCCTAATATATGCAGTAAGGCTACTGTTTCATCAATTTACTTAACCAAACAATTTTCTATTTATTTTTAACCTCATTTTCTTTCAATTCAGCCGTAAACACATAAAACAAATAATACACACATTTAAAGATATAAAATCAATCAATAAGGTATTGTCATGCATTTAAACTGTAAAAATAATCAACAGAATAATAATAGATAATTTTCGATTTTGCCTCTACTAGTAATCCATAATTAATTATGAATATTTTTTAAATTGTAATAAAATACCGTATTTATTATTAATTAGACTTCAATTCTATAACAGAGAATAGAGTGAGAGATTCTTACTCAATTTGATACCCGAAAAGCTGAACTGTTGATTGCGCCTACTCGCGGTCACCGGATTTCCTGAATTTTTTTTTTGGGAATTAAAACGCGCTATAAGTATTTACAGATGTCCCAAAAAATTCAAAATTAGTTTCAGAACCCAATTTTAGCTAATTCCATAATTCTGACACGGCAGCTTCACTGTGCTCCGACGACGGTGCCGCCATTCGTGGCTGGCGGTCCGCCTCGAATCGGCTGTTTTTGACCATTTTTTGTCGAATTGGCCCGATTTTGCATCAATCCTTGCAAGAAAACACGTTAAGGGGCCTTGGTTGGTCGAAAAAACATAAAAAATTGAAACTCCCTAGCGGCAGGGCTCTTCGGTGCGGCGGCTCCTCCGACTCAGGTTGCAGTTGGGTGTTTGCTCTAGTCAACCTGTAGAAAAGGAAACGGTGATCACAATGGTGGAAAAATTATGCTGAACGGGAATTGAGAAGGGCCTCATCGGAGGCGTTTTGTGAAATTTTCCGCGGCGACATCGCCAAGCTTTGCCCACAGTTTTTGGTCAATCGGCTGGTCTTTTTTCTCCGATTTGGCCATGGGGGTCTTTAAATTTGAATTCCGAGCAAAAAGAGAAATTTTTACCTTTTTTGATAGTCGAAAGTAGCTCTGGCGCGGCGGTGAGTGGCAACGGCTCTCCTTCTTGGCGATTGGGTCTTCTTCTCCAGCAAGGGAGTCTGGCGGCTAGGGTTAGGATTGGTGTGAAGAGAGTTATTTATATCATTCCTCATTTAATTTGGACTGTCCATCGTGTTTGATCTGAACCGTCCGATCGCGATTAAATAGGGAGTGAATCTAGACCGTTAATCGCGATCTAATATGGACCATTTGATTGCGTTTAAATCTGACCATCCGATCGCGTTTGGGGAGGGAACGCATCCAAACCGTCTGTGCGTGCGGGAACGGATCTGGACCGTTTGATTGCGGGTACGCGGATCGCCCGCATGGCACCGCGTCAACGTCCGTTGTCATACGGCGCGTTCTGGTTCGCCGGGGCTGCTGACCGGGTATCTTATGTGGTACAAGTTTTCTAAATTATATTTTGACATCCGTTTTTCGATTTTTCTTTCAAAAATACCCTAAAATCTAAATTTTCACATTTTTTTTCTAAATTGTTTTCAATTTCATCATCTATCAATTTTTTTTTATTTTTACACTAAATTAAAATTAAAAAAATTAAAAAATTGCATAAATTAATTTAATTTACATTAAATTAAAATTGGACATTACAACTTATGAAATATGACTAATTCTGTCAAGATTAGGAATCCATGAATTTTTATTTTCTGATAACATTGTAGAGTTTATAAATTCACATATATATATGTATATATAAAATTTTAAAATAAATTTATATTGATAAAACACATTTCATTGAGCACTCCAAGGTTGTTGGTCACTCAATATGCATATAAATATTTTTTGACTTCAGAGGGATAATGAAGAATCGATTGGTTATGATGTACTATATTTTGGTTCAATAAATGCACTAATGTATCTTATTAATAATGTTTGGTTTAATATGATATTTCTGTTACTTTGTTAGTAATATGTAATTATTCATCTATATGAAGACATTGAAATGATATTAAATTTTTATTTAGATATAGTCGATGAATAATAAATAAAGAGTCATTTCATTCAAACATATCAAAATAAACATTGATTAGTTATGAAAATTCATGATATTTATCTAATTGAAATATATAAAAATCTCAAACACGCTATAACCCTACAACTAGATCACAATGTTTTACTTCTCCAAATCATGCAAAAATATCTATCATTTATGAGGCGACTTGAGAGTATTTATAATTAATTAGATGAATCGAATCATTCGACATATTTAGGATATAATTGATGTACATTTCAAAAAGAGTGCCTCAATTCATATTGTACAAAGATAATACTACATGTACAGCTCAAATTAAGAAGACGATATACTAAATTAGATGGAATGATGTATATTTCATTCTTATGTGTGATATTTAAAAGAATGAAGCAAGGAGTTTCAAAAAATTTATTTTTAAGGAACAACTTAATATATTAATTTAACAAAATATTTTCTATTTTTATGTTTGAAAAATTAATATACAGTTAGGATATAATAAACAATATTTGTAATATTTTCTCGTTGAATAATATATTTATTTTTTTAATGTGTTATTAATAAAATATTTTTAATTATTAAATAAACATTATTATGAATTTCTAAATTCCATAATAGTTTTTTTTTTTTTTTTGTTTTACTAATTTAGATAATATGGATAATTTATTTATATACTTTTTAGACGAGAGCCGACAAAGAAAAGGGTATGGTAGTGGGAGAGTGATTTGTTCCTTCCTCTTTCCAAATGTAATGTAACATGTCCGTACAATTATTCCCAAATAAATCCTTTTCAATTTCGGCACTTTTACTTTACCCAATATTACACCAACCTATCACTACACACACACACACACACATATATATATATATATATATATATATATATATATATATATAGATATAGATATATATATACACACACACACATTCTACTACTCAGTTAAATATCAATAATATACGATTACATCTTTTACCGAATATTGTTTTTAATTAATTAAATATTTTATGTCTAGAATTGTAATTTTGGGTTGGTAGAATCGCAAAATCCTGCCTTCTACTATTTTGAGTTTTATGTATTTTAATTTCCTTATTTTATTCAATATAAATATTAAAAATTAATAATAATAAATTAGTGTTGTATTTAGTTTTAAAAATATTAAACAGCTTTTAGAATACTATTTAATTAAATTATTGGCATGATTTATTCTATATACAAAA